TGCTCCAGTCCCCTGATCATCCTCGTTGCCCTTCTCTGGACTTGTTCCAACAGTTCCATGTCCTTTTTATGTTGAGGACACCAGAACTGCACACAGTACTCCAGGTGAGGTCTCACAAGAGCAGAGTAGAGGGGCAGGATCACCTCCTTCAACCTGCTGGTCACGCTCCTTTTGATGCATCCCAGGATATGGCTGGCTTTCTGGGCTGCCAGCTCACACTGAAGCTGGCTCATGTTCATTTTCTCATCAACCAACACCTCCAAGTCCTTCTCCTCAGGGCTGCTCTGAATCTCTTCTCTGCCCAACCTGTAGCTGTGCCTGGGATTGCTCCGACCCAGGTGTAGGACCTTGCACTTGGCATAGTTAAACTCCATAAGGTTGGCATCAGCCCACCTCACAAGCGTGTCGAGGTCCCTCTGGATGGCATTCCTTCCCTCCAGGGTATCAACCGAACCACACAGCTTGGTGTCATCAACAAACTTGCTGAGGGCGCACTCAATCCCACTGTCCATGTCAGCGACAAAGATGTTAAACAAGACCAATCCCAACACCAAACCCTGAGGGACACCACTCGTTACTGGTCTCCAGCTGGACATTGAGCCATTGACCACAACTCTTTGTGTGCGGCCATCCAGCCAGTTCTTTATCCACTGAGTGGTCCATCCATCAAATTGATGTCTCTCCAATTTAGAGACAAGGATGTTGTGTGGGACAGTGTCGAACGCTCTGCACAAGTCCAGGTAGATGACATCAACTGCTCTACCCCTGTCCATCAGTTCTGTAGCCCCATCATAGAAGGCCACCAAATTGGTCAGGCAGGATTTCCCCTTAGTGAAGCCCTGCTGGCTGTCACCAAGCACCTTGTTGTTTTTTGTGTACCTTAGCATGCCTTCCAGGAGAATCTGTTCCAAGATTTTGCCAGGCACAGAGGTGAGACTGACTGGTCTGTAATTCCCTGGGTCATCCATTTTCCCCTTCTTGAAAATGGGGGTTATATTTCCCTTTTTCCAGTCATTTGGAACTTCACCTGACTGCCATGATTTCTCAAATATGATGGCCAGCGGCTTCGCAACTTCATTCGCCAGCTCCTTCAGGACCTGCAGATGAATTTCATCAGGTCCCATAGACTTTTGCACGTTCAAGTTCTTAAGATGGTCTCGAACCAGTTCCTCTCCTACAGTGGGCGCAAGGTCTTCATTCTCACAGTCCCTGCATCAGCTTTCAAGACTTGGGTGGTTTGGTCAGAGCCTTTGCCAGTGAAAACCGAGGCAAAGAAGTCATTCAGAACCTCAGCCTTCTCCAAACCCTGTGTAGCCAGTTCTCCTGAGAGCTTCCTGAGGAGGCCTACGTTGTCCCTAGTCTGTTTTTTATTTGCTATGTACCTGTAGAATCCCTTCCTGTTATCTTTAATATCCCTAGCCAAGTTTAATTCTAACTGGGCCTTAGCTTTCCTAACCTGGTCCCTAGCTTCTCGGACAACATCCCTGTACTCTTCCCATGCCACCTGTCCTTGCTTCTACTTATTATAAGCCTCTTTTTTCATTTGAATTTTCCTCAGGAGCTCCTTATCCATCCAAGGAGGTCTCCTGGCCCTCCTGCTGCACTTCCTTCTGGTTGGGATGCAACACTCCTGAGCTTGCAGCAGGTGATCCTTGAATATCAACCAACAGTCTTGGGCCCCCCTGCCCTCCAGGGCTGTATCCCATGGAACCTTCCGAAGCAGGTTCCTGAAGAGGCCAAAGTCTGCTCTTTTGAAGTCCAGGGCAGTGAGCTTGCTGCATGCTCTTCTCACTGTCCTGAGGATCTCAAATCTTATCTTAAAACCTCTCCTGTTTTCTGTTAAACAGGACTTTCAGGTTACTGTTTGTAATGTTACTGGCACTGGCATTTGTTTTGGAGTTTTGCTTGATAAAGTCAGATCTCTGACTATAGTCTATAATACATAGCTCCACATTGGCAACCAAACTTTTTCATGTGGGGAAGCGTACACTTTCTAGATGAAAGAGGCTTTTAAAAATACATTTATAGGGGCAGTTTTTTTTCATGTGAAGTTAGGTAAAATGGTTGGACTATCTAATAGTCATTAAAACCACTAACATGTAGCAATAAATAGACTTACACCACGTATATAAGTTGATTAATGGGTCTTTCCCTCCCTGTCTGCACCTGACTTGCAAATACAGATGTTTCTCCTCTATAACCTCCCATGTTTCTTGCTTGACTGAAAATTCTTTGAGAAAAATCTTAATCTTGTCTGTCTAGCTTCAGTTAATGATTATTTCCATTTCTAGAGGTGATGCTTTTTGCTTTGATTTTAATATTGTGTTCTGAGAGCCTGTAGACACATACCTAAGAGACATAATTAAAATGTTTAGCTACAGTATGTCTTCCTTTAGATTAACTAGCTGTCTGCATGTAATACACCACAAATGAAGAGCAGTACTTTCTGCATGCTCAGTTCTCCCTCCTTCCTCCCCCCATTAGCAAGGAAAAGTTTGCAGCCCATGTATCTTGAAGTATCCCTTGGGGTGCCTTTGTAAGCAGCATCTTAAAGGTTACTCCTAGAGCCTGGCTAAATGTTACCAGTTCTTTAGGGAGAGTGACAAAGATATCCACTAATGTGGAGCTGAAATCTTTTAAGTCTGGTAAACCTTCTGATAATAAATAAGAAATACTTTGCCTCTAATATTTCATCTTATGCTTTAAAGTGCACCTGCTCACCTATGCTTTACAAGCAAAATTAAACATTAACAGCTTCTCATTAGTATTATAAGCCTCTTGGGAACATCAAGCTTCAGGAAAAACTATTTACATCAGTCTATGGTTGAGTGTTCAGAATAACAAAGGGTGTATAGCTCAGGAGAACTGTACAAGAGAGTGCACCTTTGGCTTGTTGGTTTGAATTGGGAGCAGTTGAAATTTTGTAACCTTAAACTGATTCCTAAACCTACAAATCAAAATTTAGAAACTTGTAGTTGTAGAAACAAGCCCATGATGGCAAGCAATATTGCTAACCTTGGTCGGAAGGGTAGTGATCTGCTTCACCTGGGCAGGTGTTTTCCTAAGAAGACCTGGGAAGATAAAGGAATTGAGGCCATTGAGCTGAGCATGCCCAAAAGGCAAGATTTCATACTTGAAGGGGTTGGCTTGGTGAGTATCATGGTGTGAGCTGTTGTCTTGTTTGTCTAGGACATTTAATGCAGGAGTGTGTGCATGTATTTCACGCCCTCTGAGAAGGCTGCATGCGTTGCACAATGAGTCTTGCAGCTAGTGATATTTCTCTTGCAATGTTTCAGATTTATGTAGGATTTTCAAGGAATGTAAGCATGTGTTGTGCTATTGAGTGTCCTTTCAGACTGGAATTGTTCTGAGTTGTATTACCTCATAAAATGCTCTCTTTCTCTAATGGATTTTGTTTCTGGCTAATCAGGTAAACATTTACAACACACGTAGCTATAAATAGTGCAGATTTTCAAAGAACATAGCCATGATGTTTTGATGGTGTAAGTGCTAACATTACATTTCTGGCTATGAAATTCTGCTGCTCTTCACGCATTTAGGCACATAAATGCCATCACATGCATTCTATTTCAACAAGATTACAAAGTTGCATTGTTAACAAGAGAAACAAGATTTAAAGAGCCAGCACAAACACATCACAAATGTTAAAATAGTGTATCTTTAATATACGCTTTTTAGATCTCATCTTAAAATCAACTTTTCGATTTGTCTGTGGCTAATCTTTGTAATTTTGTTACCACAGCTGAGAAAACCATCCTATGACTTCCCACCTGTATAAGGAGCTTCTGGATTTCTGAATTTACATGTTGAATTGCTTGTGTTCTGAAATATGCCAGTTTACCAGGGTTAAATAGCGATCCAGGAATGTGTTTGACTAGAGATTTTGGCAACGCAGTTTGTTGTGTTTGAGTGTGTATATGTACTTCCGTATGTATGGGTAACAGTGTATGCTCAGATTTTTTTGTCAGTCTGGATAATCATTAAGATTAGCAGAGGCAGCTGCATTGGGTGATTTCCTGAGCTAAACACTATGTGTAAAGCATAATTTCCCACCTTTTCTCTTGTGTGAGATGTATAATTTTGGGAAAAAAAAAATGGAATTTGGGGGTACTAGTGCATGGATCTAGATGATGAGAAAAGGCTGTGCTGCAAATGGTGCATTTATAGTGTATCTGAATGGGACTCATGAGAACTGGAACATGCAGTTATTGTTGCCATTGCTCTTGTAGGCCTTCCTGACAGTCCCGACCATAACTGCTGTTTGTGATCAGAACTGAGCAGTGGCTGGTCATGCCATGGTCTCTCACTAGTGGGATGTAACTAGTGACCTGGACAAGAGGCTTTCAATGTAAGCTTTTAGTTCCCTAGGTGAAAATTTTAGGAGCCTTGAGCTGCCCCTCAGATGTTCATTTGGTTAGATAACCAGTTTGTTGGTTTGCTTTCTGAAGAGTAGCAGAGATTTACCCTCTTACCACCGTCTCTCATTTCACAGAGATTGAGGATGTGGTGGCTACCACAGCAGAAAAAATACCTCTAAAAGGATGTTTTTAGGATGGGGTTTTGTACATCAGTATTAAGACTATGATGATAAAAGCTGAGGTAATATGCAAGGGGTTCTCTGCACATCCTGGAATCCTCTTTCTCCCCTCAACTTTGACTTTTCCAAATTCCCACTTCCTTCTATTTCAGAAAAAAATTGCCTCATCATATGGAAAAATTCTTGTGTGAGGAAAAGTAATCGTGGAATGTAGCAGATATAAACTTATAATTTCTCTCCAGGAATAATCTTCTGGTTCTTCTGTGGCATTCCTGCATTGCATTGAATTAGTACTGTGGTGATAGGGGAACCTAGCAGAGTTTTCTGTGGTCTTGTTGAGACTAACACAGGTTTTTCAGTTGGCTGTCTTAGCTTGTACGCAATACCTTTGGAGCGCATTTGGTATGCACAAATCTATTTTCTAATGCGAAAAACATTTTACCAATACCCACATGAAGAAGTGTGTTATACACAAGCTCCTTCATTTAAAATTAAAGGATGTGGGCAAAAATAAGGTTGTCCATTAAAATTTGTATGTTCTTTTCAGAGTCAGTTCTGGATTTTTGCCACATGGAAGATCTTGCCTAGCGTTCAGATTGAATTGCACCAAAGTGTGGTAAAAATGTAAATGAAAACTGTACAGACAGCCATGGGAATCACATGTGAACCCTGCCACTAAACAAATTGAATTTCAAAAGCTGAATTCCAAATTCATCTCTCAGACAAGTCTTCTCAATCTACCAAAGATGCCTCATATATGTTGCAATGGTAAAGCAAAGTATTTTAAATTAATCTAAGCTGTGTCAGACTTGCTGGTTTCTAACATGAGAGTGTAAAAAATATTCGGTTATTTTTCCTCTCTTTAGGAAAGGATTTTCTTTCTTTTTTTTCTTTTTTTTTTTTTTCATGGCATCTCTATATTTGTCTTATTCACTTTTCCCCTTCTAATATTTTAGAGACAGTTGAATGCTCAAGAGGGAAATTATTTGTTGTAGGCTTTGAAATACTGTACATGCTTTCACTGCAAATGTATCATCTTTGAGTCTACAATAGCTATTTTTTATTTAGGAATTGGCTGTATTGATCTTCAAAGGGCCTATCATGTGTGCAAGTATCTTAAGCAACCGTGTATATGTTGATTCAAAAATACATCCCACACAAAAAAGTTTTTATCTTTTTTTTTTTAATCTTCTTTTTTTTTCCCCTCGCTATACGCATCTGACACTTGCATTTGATCAAATGCTGTACAGAACTCTATATTAAAAGTTTTGGGTGGAATGTTTTAGTTATATGAAAAGCTACAGAAGACTTGGTCCAAGCTGTGGTAGTAATCTTATTTCTAAGTGACTTTTGTGATATTTTCCTAAAAATTTCTTACAAAAATTCCTGGTGCTATGAAGGCAAGCAATGGCTATGGGATCCACCCCCACTGCAAAATTTCACACTTTAAATTCCATGGACTTCTCCATATTTGTATTTTATGGCTGCTGGATATTTCCGTAATGGTAATGGTGAGCAGCAGAGAATAGAAATCTGATGCACTGTCATTTTGAAAGTGTTCTGCATCTACAGCATCTGTTCTAATTTGCTGTCAGTCTCAAGCCTGTCCAGAGACAGTAATCTTTTACCAATTAGGTTTCATGAGGATGTGATGAGAGTTTGTGGTCAGGTATATAAATTAAAATTATGATGTCTGGTAAAGTTCAGAGCCACAGAAAACCCAAGGGAGTGTTGTTTATGGCTCCAAAGCAGTTTAAATACTGTGATTTAGCTTAACTGGTATGATTCACAGAGGGTCATCAGAAGGAAAGCAGAAAAAGCAAGAGATGCTAAATTAAATGAGGTGTGACTATCTGTTTTCATACTGGTGCAGAAAGTGGGGTTAAGGTTAGAGATACATTGGTGTGTAAGGACAGCATTTCAAATCTGGTATTGGAAATGATGTTGGAGCTGCTGTAAAAGAAATGGGAAAAAAAATTGTGATTCGAGATAAAAAGGCTGCTCTCGCAATCAGTCTAATCACACATCCTGGTACTTGAAGCCTTACTGTCATCTTCTTTTGAGAGTCCCAGTTAATAGCTGCATTCAAAACAGGGGGAAAAAGTGTGCATTTTGAACTCTGGTTTTGGGCCTACCACTGCATTTCATCTTTTTAAACAGTTTGGTAAACCTGATGTTGAAGGTTATGCACTAATTTGTCTTGTACAGCATCCAGCAGTGTCCTTTCTTAGCAGTACATGGGGCAAGGAAAAGAATCCTTTGGTTGTAACATGTCGCAGATCAGCATATGTAGCAAGATGTGCCTTATTTCTTTAGCTATATTTTGAGAATAAATGCAAATAGAATAACTGTGTAGTTGACCGATTTATTTGCACAAATGAGCTACTTGGCATGAGCATTGCTATTAATGTACTTTTTTAATGGACAAAAATGATCAAAAATGATGTTTAGATGTTTGGTGCATTTGTTGATTAACACTCAGACAAGAGTGCCATCCTGGGAAGATGCATCACGTTGATGATGATTTATATTAGGGGAGTAAAATTATTCAATACTGCTCCATTTAAAACTCAACCAAACAACACCCCCTCAAAAAACCCCCCAAGAAACAAAAAAACTCCACCTCCCCAAAAAAACACCAAAAAAAACCCTAAAAAAATTCATGCTCTGTAATTACTAATTGGACTTGAAAATGGTTGGCTGTGAAGCTACAAATAGTTAGGTTATTGACATAACCTGTTTAATTATCAAATACGTAACACTGGAGGTAAACAGTATGTTTACTTCCATGTTTATGGGTATGAAGTTCTACATGGCTATATTGTATGCTAGCTGTTGCATAGAAGCACAGTGAATGAGAGCAGCTTATTTGACTTGATTTTGTTTTTTCCACGTCCCACTGTTCAAAATTCTGCAGTTGTTCTGAATTTGAAATTTCCTTGAAGTTTTTAAAATAAGATTGCTTAGATAGACCCAAAGGAAATCATTAATCTTTGAAAGAGGCTTTTTTGTTGCTGTTGTTTGTTTCTTTCCTTGGAATAAATTGTGCATCACAAATGTCTCTGTCAGATATTGATGGGTCGGATCAAAATTTGCTGAACTTGTTAATGATGATTCCAAGATTTCTCATTTTTTAAAAATCTGGTTTGAGTGAAAAGTACAGTATAATTCTATTCATCATCATTATTGTTATGATAAGGACTAATTCTTTAAAGATCTTAAAATATTCCCTTATCTGTGCTATCAAAGAAACTTGACATTCTCTACAAATGTGCATACATTAGCTGAGTAGGCTGAGGGACAACATATGCTGCTTTGAAAGAGAGATTAAACGTAACAAAAAATTATTTCATAGAGACTGGACAAGTAAAAGGCACTGAAATCCCTGCTACCTCTTTCATTTGTGGTTGATAAAAATGTTCACAGAATGACATCAGCTGAAAAATGAATGTCTTTCCAGCAGAAATTATCTGCTGTATACAAACGCTAAAAGTATTTTGGGGAAATACTACTGCAAACCCCCAGAGTTGGCTGGATATTGGCTTTCCCTGTGCTTTTGTCTGTGGATTGGTGATGTGCTTCTCAGGTGTGCTCTGAGAAAAGCCAAAATCTGCCTGTGTGGAAGAGCCCAGAAACTCCATTGCAGTCCATCCATCTTTAGAGGAAACATGTTTTCTGTGAATGCCTCTTACAGCTCTGTTAAAAGTTTCTGAATTGCAGGGCTTGTGACATAATGGTGATTATACTTGCATTGATCACTTGACTGCCCCTCAAGGGGAAAGCATTCCTTTCTTTGAACTTTGGCAGTGCTCTTGAGACGTGGGACAGCATGGAGGGAGGGTGTGTTTGAGATTGCCTCCTTTTTCCCTCCTGCTGACAGCAAGTGTAGGATCAGGCTTGAATTAAGGGCCATAGGTTTCCCCAAATGTACAACTGTTTCTTGAATGCAGTCCCACTTGCAAACATACCAGTTTGTCATGACTACATCCACTGCTTTCCTCTTCTGCCAATGCTGTGACCTTGGATTGGGTTTGCCACCTGCTGCCTGCAGTCAGAACTGCTGCAGCGGACAGGTGCTAAGGCTTGAGACAGTTTCACCCTGTATTAATCCCACCAAGAGGTATAGAGAAACCCAAGGAGTGGGTTTGTCAGTGTTATGTACTAGTGATTCAACGGCCTGCAAGAAACGTACCAATAAAAGTAACGTTGTCTGGTCTAAACCTGTCTTCTCTGTAGGGAAAAGGTGGGGAAAAAACGAAAGACTGCTATCTCAATAAATTACTTTTATTCTAGGTGGGTTGGAGTGGAGTTGCTGGTTGGAGTGGTCCTTGTAAGAGTAGGAACAAAAAGCAGTGTTTGGAGGTGATAACAGTGAAATGCTTATTCTTTCCTTGCCTGAAGTAGGTTGTGTTGGATAAAATAGTCTGTTGCCCTTCAACTTAGATGTAGGATAGTAAAGAAAACTAAGCACAAACTTTATAGCAGTATAAGATGATATTCAGGTCCTGTGAGGGAAGAAGTGAGAGAGGCTAAACTTAGGGGTTCTACTACCTTCTGCAAGCCTAATAACAAACTTGGGCAGAGGGGAGGGGAGTGAGGTGTACACAACACAATCTGGTAGTATCTGCAGTTAGTGTTTCAGAGACTCAAAATTCATTAAAAATTTATGGGGGGGGGGGATGGGGCAGAAACAGCATGTATTGCTTTATTTGGTCTCTTGTACCTCTCTGTGCAGTCCTTCTCTGCAAACACAGTACTTCTCTAATTCATAACTTGTCTTGCCTAGAGCTGAGTGGTCTCAAAGGTGGGAGAAGCACACAAATATTCCAAGTCTACCTTTATACAGCTTTCCAGTTATACCAAGTACCTTGAGCACTACTTGTGATCTGGGCCAAACTGTCTTTTCCAGCTCCCATTACTCTCATTTTTATTATATGCAAATACATCTACTTTCAGTTGCCAGGTGAAGTCCTCACTATAAATCAAAATTCTTTGGTGGCAGAACTTTCCAATCTGTCTATGGAAATATTTGAGTTTTGGGATTGCTTGGTTTGTTTATATTTTTTTTCTTTCCTGGGAGCGAATGGATATTCCTTGAGGTACAGAAGACAGGCAGCAAATAATGGCTTTGCTTGGAATTTGCAACATACTCCTAGTTGCACCTGTCTCGAGTTTTAGAAAGGAAATGGTAGACTATAGGTAATAGTGCTCTCTGCTCTTCTCCCTTGGCAAAATTAGGTAAGAGCACCGGAGATGTAAGTGTAGTCACGGTTAATGAAAAAGCCTTGTGTTTGAAATTTATTAACTGTCTAAACTTTTTTTCAATCAATGGTTACCTTTTTTATTTTTCATTAAATGTGTTGCAAGGCTCTGAACACACCAGCCATGGTGTGTGTGGAAATGCAATTAAAACTAAATTACTTTGCATGTGTAAGAAGCCAGAGTCCTGCTTTTCATTGGTGACTTCTGTTTTATATAAATTTTCTAGTACAAGCTCTTATATAGAGTTTCCTAAATGACTTCATAAACTAGTAACTTTTTAATATATATATAATTCAGTACTTATAAAAACTTCATGTTGGTTCCTACTTTCCTATTGTTACAGAACTCTAGCGCTAAAGACAGACAAAATTCCAATTTCCATTCTAATTGCTTTCGGAAGATTATATCAATTGTAATATAAGGAGGAAAGAAGGGTTAGCACTGGAACAAAGTAAGTGGCAAAAAAACCCCACACCTCAGAAGGGGAGGCAATGACATGAAACTGT